TGTGTGTGTGTGTGTGTGTGTGTGTGTGTGTGGTGGGGGTGCATGCCTTTAATCCCAGCACTCTGGAGGCAGAGGCAGGTGGATCACTGTGAGTTCAAGGCCAGCCTGGTCTACAGAGTAAGTTCCAGGACAGCCAAAGCTACACCAAGAAACCCTGTCTCCCAAAAAAAGGAGGTTGGTGGGATATGATATAGAAATGATAAGATAAAAGGGTAGATATTGAATCTACTTTTAAACAAAAAATTACTAGTCTTAAATATTTTACATTGGTATGGATTTTTGTATATTGATACAAATTTGAGGTTATTTTTGCTATACTATATATGTTTCTATTCTTGTTTAAGATATTTTTGTATATTGATACAAATTTAAGGTTATTCTTGTTAGAACCTACTGTACCTATGTTTCTACTCTTGTTTGGAGTATTGTGCTTATGCAGCTCATTTAAAAATGTAATGTAGTTAAGCCATACAGATTAATAGTCATCTATAATAGTTAAATTTATAGTCACGTTAGGTATGTTTCCAAGGTCATACACAGATATATTTAGATAGATAGATGGTCTTTAAACACTTCAAAGATCTACAGAACAGGACATTTAATATGTTTAATAACCTAAGGCTTTTCATGACAGCGAGACACATCTGTTCCTGGCAGCACCAATCTACTTCAGAGAAGATGATGGACACTGAAGAAATTCCATATAGAGTTTGTTTTCTTTATGGCCATGTGGGCAAAGAAATTTTCCTGCTGGGCGGTGGTGGCACACGCCTTTAATCCCAGCACTCAGGAGGCAGAGTAAGGCGGGTCTCTATGAATTCAAGGCCAGCCTGGGCTACCAAGTGAGTTCCAGGAAAGACGCAAAACTACACAGAGAAACCCTGTCTTGAAAAAAAAAAAAAAAAGAAATTTTCCTTGCCTCAATTGCTGACAATTTACTGTCCAAACTAGACTAGCAGAATGCAAGAAAGGTGACTGCCAAACTTTGCCAAGACAAGGTAAGACAGTCCTTCAAAATTCCCTGCTTCACAGGAATGTCTGTCAGATATTCTACACTTGTAGGGCAAAGATGGATGCCCCAACATTATAGAGGAACCTTGGGTGACTGTCCAGGCAGTTAAATGTTTCTGTCATTTCTTAGTTTTGGTATTTGTTTGCTCTGCAATTCCTGTTTACTCAGGAAATATTATATCATTCTCAGATAGCTGATGGAGTTGAAGACTAGATAGTTATAGTTTTCCTTGTTACCAAATTCAGAAAAGAGACTCACAAAAGAGGTGTAAAGTGTATAAGGTTGAGAGACATTAAAGGATAGTTTTGGGTTGGTAATACAAGTTAGGACAGAAAGTGAATTAGGTACAACACTTGGACTCACCAAAAAAGAATAGATAATAGAGTATTTTCTCTAATTTTGCCAAACACAAGTGGATATGGTAACTGTAATTCTCACTTGATAACTGTTTTTGTTGTATATAATTTTACTATGTTAAAGTTAAAACTTTCCTTCTTCATTTAGACAAAAAGGGAGAAATGCTGTGGAATATTCTTTTGTACTGTGTGAATATATGTCATGATTGGTTTAATAAAGAAGCTAACTGGCCAATAGCTGAACAGAATAAAATTAGGTAGGAAAGCCAGATTAGGAGAATGGTGGGAGATGAAGGGCAGAGTCTGGAGTTGCCAGCCAGATGCAGAGGGAGCAGGAGATGAAAATGCCATGGTAATAAAGGTACTGCCACATGGCAGAGTATAAATATGGAATATGGGTTAACCTAAAATGTAAGAGCTAGTTAGTAATAAGCCAGAGCTTTGGTCAAGCATCTATACTTAATACTAAGGCTCAGTGTGATTATTATGAAGTGGCTGCTGGGACACAGAGAAACTCCACCTACATGAACCATTATGTGGGTTCTAGGACCTGAACTCAGGTCCTCTGCAAGAACAAGTGTTCTGAACACCTGAGCCATCTCTACAGCCCCTGAAAAGACCTTTTTAAATAAGACTTATTTTTTTTCTCATTTTTATCTTAATGTATGAGTCTGTGTGTGGGTATGTGCATGTGAGGCTTGATGTGGGTATGGGGAACCAGACTCTGATCCTCTGGGAGAGCAGAACTTGCTCTTAAATGCCGAGCTACCCCTGTAGCTCATTCTACGAAATACCTTTCAATAGTAAATTGCTCTTATCTTTATGAGTAGTAAAATACAAATTTCCCCCCCTTTTCCCCCCAGGGTCTTAGGGAAGACAATGCTGGCTTCAAACTCCGAGAACGATTCTGCACTTGCGACCACCCTCCATTTCCCAAGTGAAAATCACTGGCCTGTCCCACCTCTCCCATCTTAAAATATAGTTTTAAGATTTGCCTGGAAATGATTTTTCTTGTTTACAAAATGGATATAATACTGACTCCCACCTCGGGGCTATTGAACTGGAAATTCAACTCCTCTACTGCGCAATAAGCTTGTTACTTTACCAAGACAACCTGATGTAGAATGAAAGTGGTCAGCTGTTGTGAGTTACAACAATCACAGTACTTACTGCGTCCCATTAGTCTGTGTATCCTGTTTTTGAAAAAAAAAAAGAAATCTCTTTAAGTCAAACATGTATTTTTCATTGGTGCCTGAAATTAAACCAACTGGTAGCATCTTCCATTAAAAAAAAAAAAATGCAAAAATGCTAGACTGAAATACCAAGATAAAACTTCCTTCCCCTCTGTATTTTTGGCTGTAAAAATGTCAAGATTAAAATTTCTTTGTGAAAATTAAAAAGTACAAGATTTTTCTTATACATACAATTCAATTTAATAGTTTATTCGCGGCAATAAATGTACTACTAAGAAAGAAGAGACGATTCTGCCCCTCTCTAGGCTGAAAGAGTAAGGAAAGACCCTTTCAGGCAAAGGACCTTTTCACATTTTGCGTAGCTAGGGAGATCAGATAACCACTTGGCGGGAAAAGGATAAATACTGACCAAATCAGCACAATCTGTTTCTGTTTAGTTTATAAACTGCGTCCCAGCATGTCAGCTTTCCTGCCTTGTGGGACTTGAAGTCCGAAGTTAGGAACGATGCAGGCAGCTGGACCTTAGAAACCCATAGCCCCTGAAGCTCCGAGGCCTAAGGACTACAACTCCCGACATACATCAGAAGGCCGCGCCGTAATCCCAGACAACCAATCGTTTGTCTACAAGGCAAGCCCCGCCCCCCGCTCCCGGACAGCCTTGGCCAATGGCAGAGCTCGGAGCGCACAGCCTGCGGGTTAGGTTGTGAGGCCCGGGCCGGGGGTGGGGAGGAGTCGAGGGTTTCGGAGCGAGCTCTGCGGCCGGGTGATTCGGGGCGTTCGGCGCGCCCTTCCCCGAAGCGGCAGTGGCCGGGCTGGGAGCAGGGAGTGGGAAGCGACGGCGCGGCTGGAAAATGCCGGTCCATTCCCGAGGCGATAAGAAGGAGACGAATCATCACGATGAGATGGAGGTGGACTACGCGGAGAACGAGGGGAGCAGCTCCGAAGACGAGGACACCGAGAGCTCGTCGGTCTCCGAGGATGGGGACAGCTCAGGTGCGCGACCCGGCTGGGCAGGGACGCCGGGTCCCAGCGCCCGGCGCGCGACAGGCCGCGGTGCTCACGCCGGGCGGCGCGTCCTGCTGCGAGCGCGGGGCGGGGAGACGGGGAAGGGGCGGGGACTGGCTCGGCCTCAGGCACCCGGGAGCTGCGGGGCGCCGCCAGCTCGGGCTCCATCCGTCCGGCTCGGCGGGCCGGGCGCTGACTTGTGGGGACCCGAGGGGGCTCTGTCCACGGGTGGGGCCCTGTCCCACGGTCGCCTGGCGGTGCCCTGGGGCTACCCACCCGGGAGTGGAATACCCCGCCGGCTGGTCTGCAAGACCGTGGAAAAGTCCCGTGTCCGCCACCCTTGTCAGCGTGTGTGTGTGTCGGGGGCGCCGAGGATGGATTTGCCTTGGTCCTTGGCGGGCTTGGAACTCGTTAACATTTGCTTGTAGGTCAGCTTGTCACTAGTACGGTCATCGGTGCTCTCGAGGGGACTAACTTGGCAACTGTCCCTCCCGTTCATAGGATGTCCCCAAAGTTTCCAAGACCAAGAAGGGACCAGCCTGAGGGAGGATTTCGAATCTTCACGGTTTTTTTTTTTTTTTTTAAATCTGGACGATGTGGGCAATTTCCCAGATTCCCAGAATCTTCTAGCGTTCATGATTTTGTAACTCTGGGCAGTTTCTGATTCCTTTATTTATATTTTATGTTTTTTTTTTTTTTTTTTGATGGGGGAGGTAGATTAACATTACAAATACGTTTTGCGAATCTTTCATAATTGTCATTCAGAAATGATCGGTATTGGTGATTTTTTTTTTTTTTTCTGCATCTTTCTCTGTCGGACCATATGATGGAGACTGAGAAGGGTTTCTTCGGCTAACCCTGGTCTTGGCCATGTTTCTAAGGGAAGCATTGATAACACGTTAGCGACCGTGTGTTGTCGCACCACACCTTTTTCTTCGGGCTTGCTGTCCGAGTACACCCCTCCGTGGAAGAATGTAATGGCAATAGTCAGCCACCCAAAAGTAAATGTTTATGAGGGAGACTTTTTGCTCAGTGTTGGGCACGACTCAGCACGAGGTGTAAATATATAGAGGTATTATCTCGTCTCAGGTGAAGAACAGTGATTTCCTTACTCAACAGAGCCGTCAAAGAGACAAACGCACGGCAGTTGTGACAGCATACACCAGACCTGAGCAGACTGAATCCAGAAAAAATCCCAGGATGAAGGGGTGGAGGTGGGCGTGGAGTTCCACCCCTGGCTGAGGAAGCTGTTGGTGTTTGAGAGTGTGGGGAGAGAGTCACTTTTCTTTCTTTTTTCTTTTTCCGGAGACAGGGTTTCTCTGTGTAGCTTTGCGCCTTTTCCTGGAACTCGCTTTGGAGTCCAGGCTGGGCTATAACTCACAGAGATCCGCCTGCCTCTGCCTCCGGAGTACTGGGATCAAAGGCGTGCGCCACCACCGCCTGGCCGAGAGTCACTTTTCTTTAATAGCATGACCCCTGGTTGGTCAGCCCCATGCGAGGGCAGGCTCCAACCCAGGAATGGCTGGGTAAAACAAACTGACCTACATGGTTTTCCAAAAAAGGAAAAGTGGAGGACTTGAAGTTGGTAGGGAGGTGGGTGGAGCTGGAGGAGTTGGGGGAGGGGGAGCGAATATGTTCAAAATACATTGTACAATTCTCAAAGAGTTAATAAGAATATCTAGAAATACTGTTGTAAGTTGCCAAATAAACGGTTGGATGTACACAGTGCTGGAGGCATTCAGAGGCAGAGGAAACACTCCCAGAATTGAGTGGTCAGCACGTTTACGCGAGGAAGAAGGGATTGCCTTATTTTGAAGCATCTGGGTTGGGATAGTTAAGGTGGAAGTTCATATAGGAGAAGGAATGTGAGGAAAGGTGCAAAGGCCAGAGTTCAAGGCTTGTTGGAGAAATGAGAAAACCAGTTTGGTTGGGAGACCAGCAAGCTTGCAAAGGCAAAGAAAGCTGTAGCTGTGAGAGATTTCAAAGACGCTGAAGACGGAGTTGAGGAGTCCCACTTTAGGAGTGAAGGTAAGAGGAAATTTCCCTTAGACTCAGGAGAGGTGTGGGTAGCATCAGCACTAACGGAAAGGAAAAGACTTGAGTTGAAGATAGAGGATAAAGTATTTGGATCATGTTGAGTATTCCGTCTGTTTATGTAAGAATGTCTGAACTGACAGATGGAAATGTAACACTGGAACCTGCCTGGGATAAGAAGGTGAGACTTCAAAATTAGTAAATTCTTTTTTTTTTTTTTCCTTTTTTTTTTCTTTTGGTTTTTCGAGACAGGGTTTCTCTGTGTAGCTTTGTGCCTTTCCTGGAACTCACTTGGTAGCCCAGGCTGGCCTCGAACTCACAGAGATCTGCCTGGCTCTGCCTCCCAAGTGCTGGATTTAAAGGTGTGTGCCACCACCGCCCAGCTAAAATTAGCGAATTACTTAACATGAAGTAGGGATTACAAATCACATTTATACTCTGTAAATACAGTTCTTGGGTCTGAAAAATGTTCTTTTTTTTTTTGGTGGGATATAGAGGACAGGGTTGTGCTATGTAGCCCAGGAGCAAAGCATTTTAATATTAAGTGTTCTTGTTTGTTTGTTTTTTAAGGTTTTATTTTTAATTATGTGTATATGTATGTGTCTGTGTGTAGGTACAGGTATATGAGTGAGGATGCCCATGGAGTCCAGAAGAGGGCGTTGGCTCTCCTGGAGCTGGAGTTACAAGTGGTTGTGAGCCCCCCCAGTGTGGGTGCTGGGTACTCAGTCTGGGTCCTCTGCAAGAACAGTTAGGTGCTCAGATCCTCTGAGTCATCTCTCTGGCCCATGTTCTTCTTGGGTTTTAATGGGAGCCAGGTTCCCATTAAATGTGTTATAATTCTTTCCTTCTAATATTTACATTGCCATGATTTTTAACATGTTCAAAAAAAAAACTCATTCTAAAAAAAAAACATAATTTACAAAGATCATAATAGTGATTTGAACTAAAAGTCAATTTTTTAAGTGCAAGTATATCGTTTAAATGCATTTTACAGTTTTACTTTTTCTAAGACCATCTTTATTCTACCACACCTAGAGGCATATTACGTGTCTCATTTTTTCCTCTTTCACCTGGTACTGAGCAGATCCTGGGGACACAGAAACTTCCTACAGAATTTGGAAGATAGGAAGCTCTGAGGGACCAAGTGTTTTGTGTGTGTGTGTGTGTGTGTGTGTGTGTGTGTGTGTGTGTGTGTGTGTGCGCGTGCGCGCGATCCTGTGTCCCTGTCATGTCCTGCTCCCTGCCAAACCCTTGAACAGTTTGGGCCTGTGCTGTACGTGGAGTTAGATCTCCAGTTGAGTTTTGAAGACCTACAGAGGAGGCTATCAAGAAGCAGAGATACTTCAATTTGTTTTAGAAAATTATCATCATATACTTCCTTACTATATGAAAATAACTATACATGCTGTGACTCTTTCTCATAGTTTGACCCTTTCTTTGATGAAGATCAAGATGCAGATCTATTTTGATGTGTTTCATATATGTGATATAAAAATAGAAGATGGGGGAATGGGACAGACCTGGTAATTACTGGTTGCTGTCTTTAAAAGTTGGCTTACCTTTTGCTTCCTTTGCTCTCTCCCTTTGACTGACAGTGATGTGAAGAGAGGGAACAGTGAGAGGATGAGTGTCAGCATAGGATTCCCTAAGCTCCATGTAGTGGGATTAGTTTGTTTTTTGTTGTTGTTGAGACAGGGTTTCACTGTGTAGCCTTGGCTGGCCTGGAACTCCCTCTGTAGACCAACCTGGCCTCTACCTCAGATCCACCTGCCTCTGCCTCTCAAGTCTGGAATTAAGGGCCTGTGCCAGCTGCCTAGCAATTAGTTGCTTTTTTTATTGTGATGGGGTAATCAGCCATGTGACTTTTCCACCTCCATCTTCATTTTTATTATTTATTTATTTATTTTTAGGATTAAAAAAAATTTGAATCATGTGTATGTGTATGGTGTGTTTAGAGGCCAAAAGAGGGCATCTGATCCCCTGGAACTGGAGTTACAGGCAGTTGTGAGCCATAGCATGGATACTGGGAACTGAATTTGGGGCTCCTGCAAGAGCAGTATTCACTCTTAACTTCTGAGACATCTTTCCAGCTCTGGTTTTCTTTTTTTTTTTTTCTTCAGCCCAGGCTGGCTTTGAAACTTTATCATTTCCCACCTCAAATTCTCTAGTGCTGGGATTACAAATCATGTGCTACCATAGCTGACACGTTGCAGTTGTGAAGAAAGAATTCCAGATGTGTTTTTTGACTAGTGACATTTTATGAGCATAGTCATTTTTGGTGCTAAGTTCTCAAGAATTAGTGTAAAACCAAAAGTGGGTTAATTACTTAATTGACATAGCTTTTAAAGTCCTTTAAGAAGACTGAAAAAATGGATAAACACTAGGAGCTCTAGAGACTGCTGGAGCTTTAACTAATCTGTCATTAAATTAATTCTATAGTGGTAATTATTTTGGATAAAGATTATTTTCCTTTAAGGTTTAATATAGACCTTGGATGTCCAACTTCA